CCAGGACCATGGTCCTCCTCTGTCAATAACACATCCTCCCCTTTCCAGGTGTGAGCCCACAAACAGCATAAGGAACAGACCTTCCCCCAAACGGCAGCCTCATTCCTCCAAACACATCCCCCAGACCTCATCCCAGCTGTCCCCCTGCTAGGCAATGGGGGCTCTTCCCCCACAAGAAAGGCCTCCAAGAAGGGGGCCTAGGGTGACCCGACTCTTCCCACCTGCCCACTGGACAGTGGTGCCCAGTCACCTTGCCTGTCCCCATGGCATCCTCAGAGGCTGTTGGGCTTCTGCTGAGCCTCTGTCACTAAGCTTCTACAACTTGCCATCAGCCTTATTCTCGTCAACTTTACACTTGTTTTCATGTACAACTTCAGAGCTCAGTAATGCAAAGAGACTTGTCAGGGAGCAGCCACCCCCACACCTTGCCGCCTGCCCTTTCCCTGGGACCCTGGCTTTCGCTTTGTCTTTTAGTACCTCCACCTTGGTACTAAACATTTCTCCAACCTCTGACAGCACGTTTCCATGGTGTGTTCTGGATCTGACACACTAGTGTCACCTACTGCCTTCTGGTGAGCCAGGAAGATGCCCTGTGAACTCCCTCCTACTTCCTGGATTCTGTACCTTTTTTCTTGGTTTACTCCCTCATTTTATTGGAGCACTTCCTAGACTAACTTTCCAAGAAAGGATATAGAAAAGGTAAATTTTAAAACACCATGACCATCTGAAAATAACAGTGGGCATGGCATGGGTCCTAAGCTCCAAGTCACTTCCATTAAAAATGTAAGGAAACTGCTTGTGCCTCCTACTTTCTTATGTTGTTGCTGAGGAGTGTTAGGTCATTTTGGTCCCTGGCCCTTAGAGAAGGGATATCTTGTTTTCCTTTGGAATCTCCCAGGGTCTCCTCTGTCCACAAGGCTCTGGAGTGCCTTCAGGATGTGCACAGGAGGACCTGCCCTCACCTGTGCAAAGGACCTTCTGCGCATCTTCCATGGGGATTCACTCCCTGCCTGCTGGGAACCCACCCTCAGAGCTCCAGGTACACCCTCTTGCACCCCGGGTTCCTTCTATGCACTGCAGGGCTGGTCCTCTCCATGTCTCACCTCTATTTTCTTTTCTTCATCTGTCTTTTTGTGCAATTTTCTGATAAGTCTGCTCAACTTCATCTTAAAAATGTTCAATTAAAACTTCCATTTGACTCTGGACACTTTTACACGCCCAGAGCTTGTTCTCTCTCTGAATTGCTTGAAGGCACCTGTTCTCATGGTGCTACTGAAAAGTCTTTCTCACTGGTCAGGTTCAAGATGCCTCTTTTGGGTTCTCTTCTGCTCTGGAGGCCCATTCCCCCAGTGGGCACTTTGTACACGATGCTCTGTAGTTTGCACATTTAGGCGTGTTTTCTTTTTCTTTTTTTTTGCCTTCCAGAGTTCTGAAAATCCTTGGCTATCCTCCAACCCCTGGCTATCCTTTATCATCAGGAGATGTGTCATGGGGCACCCAAGGACCTCTGAGCAGGAGAGGAAAGCCTGTCCTCTGTGGACCACACCATGGAGATCGCTGTCCCCTGAGACCTCCAGTCAGCACCCTCCCAGGCTGGTCAACATCTCCCAGGAAGAGTTCTCACTGGGGCTGCAGGGTCACCTTAGGACTTACCTGCAGCTGTCCACCTCAACTTCTGTGTTCTCTCTGGGCCTCCTGTCCTGACTGGGCCTGTACAGGGCCCTCTCCCTGCCATCTATGTGGCATGGATGGTGTGTGAGTAGAGCACAGGGTCCATCTCAGGGCTTCTGAATTAGTCTGAGATGGGGCCTAAGAATCTGCATTTCTCAAGTTCCAGATAGGGCTGCACCAGCCTGAGGCCCTCACTTCAGGAAGCACTGTTGCAAGAGAATAAGTAGCTGGGTTTTTAGGTTTTTTTTTTTAATCTTTCCTTGGGGAGAGGCTACTGCCCACAAATAGAGTGAGGGAAAGACCTGGGACAATCTCTTAATTAAATTCTCAACCAAGTATCTTAGGTCTCCTCATCTTAGCCAGGCACCTCCCCAGGGCCATCTGCTGCTATTCCTTCCTGGGTCCTCTGGGGAGTCTCGTGGCTTGAACAGACTAGCTCTTTGGCCACACACTGGTTTAGAACCCTCTTTCCTGAGCACTCAGTCATCAAGGGCTAAGCTCTTCTTAACAGATTTGAAACTTTGCTGCTGCATCGTCTCTGTGGGTATAAATCTTACAGCAAGCAAAACAAAAACCAACCTGCCTCACTGTGAGTTCAGGAGCCTGGAAGGTGCAGCACAGGGCAAGTCCAGTGAGCCTCCTGGGCTTAGATGCCCCACCCCATGCCACAGGCCTCCTTCCTGCCCTCACCTTTAGCCACACTCTTGACAGGCTGCCCATGTCTGACCTGAGTCCCTCATCCTCCAGCTTCCAGGTAACCTTGGACTTGCCCTTCTTCTTGAAGGGAAGCTCTGGGTGTCTCTCAGTTCCCTAAGTGTCACAAAATCTATCTGCTGTGGCCTCTAACATTCACCACAGCCAGACTTTCTGCACTGAGTGCCCAAGACCAGCACAGCCTGGTCCACAGGAGGAGCTCAGCACATATGACCAGAAAAATGAATTGGCAGTCAATGGGCAAATGCTCAAGGGACACCAGGTGATGCTGAGGGTCTCTCCCAAGAATCCTTTCGCAAGGAAGAGGTCTACCTGTGATGTTCTGAGTCTGCATTCTTTGCTCTAAAATCTGCCACGGACACATAGATGGCACAAGGCAGGAGAATCCAGGCTGGAAGGAGTACAAGGATGACACTGTCACACCACAGCATGGCAGAAGAAGCCTGCATGGTGGGAGGGCTGGGAAGATGCCCAGAGCTGCCACCAGCTTGCCAGGTGGTCCCATGAGAGGTTTTCTCTTTCCTTGGCCTATTTCCTACCTGGGTTCTGCTAGAGGCCTGGCCAGTGGCCACAAAGCCCGCCCTCAGGTCAGCAGGAGACCTCCCATTCACAGTATGCTCTGCCCCAAGCTGGGTCTGCCCCAGACTCCCCAGGCCAGCTCATAGGCAGGCTGGTGACTGGGCAGGGGCATCTACTCCAGGAGAGTCCCTCCTGGCAGCTTTCCCGTAGCCTTAGCAGTGATACCAATGAAACGAAAGAACACTGGTGGAGAGAATTCAGAAGCGTGAGGATTAGGAAGCACTTCAGGGACTGGCTGTCCCACAGCACACTGTGTCATTCCTTTGCTCTGCTCCACCCCAGAAAGGGAGTGGCCCAGGAACTGCCAGGGATGGGTTCCTGGTCTGGTTCTGGCACATTTCTCAGGGTGTCTGGATGCCTTGGTCTACAGAAAGTAGGACAGGACTTAATAAAGGTCAAGTGAGTTCATGCAGAGACCCCAAATGTTAATTCTAAACCCCCGAGATGGGAGAGACGGGGTGAGGTATGGGGGGGAATGTGTGTGTGAGTATGCACTGCCCACATATGCTGGACGCCAGGTCACAGGGAGCCATATAAACAGCCGCCATCCTCTAAGATGCTGAGAGATGGCGAGTCCCACTACCTCCCATACTGCTCGGAGCCCAAGCCCACAGGAAGTGGTATAAGAAAGGCCCTATCACACAGTGGGCGCTGGCAACCTGAACGCCAGGGCAGGTTCCAAGACTCGGGTGCCCCAAGACCACCACGTGCTAAGGATAGTTATAAGAACCTTGTAACAAGACCAGGGACAATAAAATACAGCTGGTGAACAGTGACTGAGTGCCAGCCATGTGCCAGGCACTCTGCAGTGCCAACGTGGTCTGTCTCACAGCTGAGACACAGAAGCTGCGGGAAGTCCCAATGCTAGGAATGGCACAGTTGTCACTCCATCTCAGGCCTGGCTGCCCCCAAGCCTTGCTGGGCAGGAGACTTCCTGTGTCCTAGGGCTTCCTCCATTACTCGCAGACCGGAGGTCTTGGTCCCTGGGTAGGAGCACACAGCAGGAGGGAGACGACACAGGAATGAGGAGGAGGACGAGGGCAACTGCCCTGATGCTTCAGACTGGCTTGGCGCTGCAGGAAGGGGCCTAGCAGGCCAATAACCTCTCTCCCACTCCAGGACTCTCAAGGGGAGTGTTAAGCACCTCCACAGCATGAGATGACACACACAGAGAGGAAGCAAAGGGCCTCACAGGGTGACAAGCAGCTTGAGCAAACATGAAATGCAAGTGTCAACAAAACAGTAGCCTCCAGCCTCCAGCCTCCAGCCCCTAGCCCAGCAGACACCCCTGCAAGTGCCCCCCAAGAGTGGAGCCATGAGATGCCCAAGTGGAGGAGTAGAAGGGTCACACTCCTCCCGGGTCACTCTGAGGCCCTGCTCAGGCAATACCAAGCACTCTCCAATGCAGACAGCGCACAGGGCACCTCAGCCCCCAGAGCCTCTGTGAGCACCCTCCATGCAGATGTGTATTTCTCTGCAGCTGCAGAGTGGTCACAGCCAACGCAGGACTTGGGGACTGCAATGCTCTCCAAGGCCATGAAGAGACTCAGCATTGGAGGTGACGAGCACAGGCCCCAAGGGTTGTTTGGTTTCCAGGCGGGAGAGGGTGGTGAGAGGCACTGACTTGGAGCTGCCCTCGTTCCTCCCTGGTGTCGAAGGCCCTTGCAGCAAGGGCCCCTGGGCTCTTTGAAGTGTACTTAGACCCATGAAAGATGGCCCCTGTTCTCACGGAGAATTGGATTTACTCTTGATTAATGGGGCTCACACAAACTGATAAATGATATTAATTTGTTCCAGGGGTCTGAGAAGATCTCCGCTGCTTACCTCTCCAGTGCTGCCTGAGTTATTTCCTGCCGCCTGCAGATGTGGATGACTAACCCTGTTTGTACAGCCCTGCAGGAAAGTCTCTACGGACCATGGGGGTCCTCATGCTCTGTCCCCAAGGCCCAGCTGCCCAGGGCTACAGCCACGCTGCCCCCATGTGACACTGAGGTGAACCTGCCCACTGGATGCCAGGGGCTGCGCAATGGCCTTACCTGCCACCTCCTTCGATGAAGGCAGGCTGCTGCTGGCCTCCAGGTCAGCGGGGATGGGGCCCCCTTTCTCCAGAGCACGCACGAGCCCCCGAAGACGCTCACACTCCTCCTCCAGCTGGTCCCGGTCTTCGCGTAGACGCTTCTTGGCCGCGCTGGTGGGGTTCATGCTCATGTGCAGCACTTTGGTTCTGCTCTGGTCATAGTCACCCTGGGGGACCAAGCACAGCACAGGATCACCTCGGTGTGGGTCAGACCATGAGGCTTTGAGGATGCAAACAGAGGAGACAAGAGGCTCATAAATACTGAGTGTGAGGATCAAGAAATTGTCAGGAGCTGAGCACAATGAGGCTGCCAGGGAGCCACACAGCAGGCCCGAGTCTCAGGGCTATAGGGATGCTGAGTGGTACAGACAAGGCCCTTCCCCTCTCTGAGTTTTGCTGTTTCACCAATAAGAGATCATGTTGTCACTTGCCTTGAAGAGTTACTGAATTAAGGAGAGAAAATAAACCAGCTGGCCCATCCCTTGGGACACTGCAGGTCCTCACCACACATGTGTCTCTGCCAAGGCTTCTTAAATCCAATCTAAGAACAACTCATGACACAAATACTTGAATGACTGGGCTTTTACTACCCCCATACTGTGCCTCTCCCTACCCACAGTGATAAAATGAAACTAAATACTTCTATGATTTGGAATGATTTTAGACTTATGGAGAGCCAGTACAGAGTGTCACCGCTGAGCACATGCCAGTTGCTAACCTCTCCCAGGAACACAGTCTACCTGCCAGACCAGCACCAGCCAGGCAATCCCCAAGGAGAGGATAAGGTCCGAGCCCAGCAGGCTCCACCACACCTCACAGTCTTCAATCACTGAGACCTCGAAGTACCACAGCAAGGTCAGCGCAAGCCACATGACCCTGACCTCACCACCCAGACACCAATTCCAGAGGGACTGAAATCTTGTTACAAGGTAAAGTTTTAAAGAAAACATAAAAGAACACCTTCACAAATACAAAGTGGCAAATTGGTAAATAAGGTTCAAGAGGTGCCTCTTTAACAGGAAGGGAGGAGCAAGCCTAGACTCAGGGTGCTAAGAACTCCTATTAATCAAGGTCCAGGTTACCAGAAACACACACCCGACCGAGGACTCAAACCCTGAATACACGAAGGACTCAAGAGTGAATGCGAAAATAGGAGAAAACCAGACAGATGCAGGCACCACAAGGGCTATGAGCACATGAAGAGGGGCTCACACAGGTCACAAGGGGATCAAAACCTGAGGCCAGTGAGATGCCCACATCCACGTCGAAAACACAGAGGGCTGCCCTCCCGGTGGGGGGCAGAGCAGCCAAGCAGTGTGTGAGACAGCAGCGTGAGCGGGCACAACTTTCTATAACAACGTGTGGCAAATCCTCTGAAGAGACCCATCTTGCTGCCTAGGAAGACTAGGAGACAGCCATGCTGCCTCTGCTGGACCAGGATGGACCTCTGTGGGTCTGAGGTGACTCGGAGAGTCATGGTCAGAAGCTGTGCTCTCAGGCCATCATGTCCCTGGGCTGTCCTACTCCCAGAGAGAACTGCCACCCAGGTGAGGAGGCCCTGTAACCTGCCCCAGGGAAGGCCTTGGGAACAGGGACAACACTAGCAGGGCAGGCATGTGGCTCAGGGACATGCTCCACCTGACAAGCATCATGCTGCTAGGCCACAGAGCCCATCCCTCAGAGTCACATTCCACCCTGCTCCATTGGTGAAGGACACTGGGCCCACAGAGGGAGACTGTGCTTGTTTCCTCCCGGCTCCCCCACACAGGGACTTCCCTCTCTCCCTACCCTTGGGCCTCCTGCCCACAAGTCCCTCTTTCCTCTAAGGAGCAGGGGAAACGGCTTCCATTGTTCAGAGCAGCAAATGCTCTGGGTGGGGAAAGAAGCTGGGGGAGAGGTCAGGCAGGCCGAGCATGGGGATCTTCTGGCTTTCCAGGAGCTCAAGTTGTGTGGGGCCCTGTCCCTCCATTGAAATACGGTGTGGATAAGACTGGACAGTGCCCCTCAAGCATGTCACCAGGGGCCAAAACCTGCCAGTTCTTGGCTAGTCTCCCAGAACCCCACAAGATGTGACTCCTAAGAAGAGCAGGGAGCAGAGCAGGGAGCTGGGAAAGGCCCAGCAAGATCCCACCCTGGACACCACCCCTTGGAACTAAAAGATCCTGCCACCACCTCAGACAGCAAACTGCTGGCCCTCAAGTCCTTCTGCAGAAGAGGCTAGTGGAGACGGATATGAAGACACGGGCCAGAGACTCATGGGCACCTCAGTGGCGGCAGAAGCCATTGCAGAGAGCAAGCTGGGTTTGCAAACAAGGCTCCTGCTTACCTCCAGAGCCTCCCTCAGTGCAGGAGGACAGGCCAGGCCTCCATCAGTGCATGGAAGATAGGAGGGAGGGGGAGTGGCGTGAGAGGATTTGCATGTCTCTTTATTGGTTTTCTGAGAAACTTGTAAAACCCCAAAAGATAAAGAGACCCCTGGAACTTCAGCTGAATCACACATGTCAGGGTTGAAAGGATTATTTCATCCAATTTCAACAGTCTGGGGAGATAACCAAGCGTGTGAAATTCTACCGCCCAAGCCGCCCGGGAGAGCCTCTGACAGCAGCCGCTGGGGCCTGTCTTGTAGAGCGTGCGCAGCTGGACACGGGTCGGTTTCCCTCAGCACAGAGCTCAGGAAGCCAGGAAGACGAGAGAACCAGGCCCAGCGTTCCCCGTGCAGTCAGAGGGTACACCTGGGCCTCATCTGCAGGTCACCTTCTCTGCCCTAAACACCCAACTCTGGCTGTGACGAGCAAGCAGCTCGTGGACAGACACATGGCTACATGTCAACACTGTGTCACAGAAACCCAAACCAGAATTCCGTATGATTTTCACATGTTCCAAAACATTCTTTGGATCTTTCTTTGCGATTGTTTATAAACCTAAAAACAATTCTTAGTTTATGGGCTGGGCAAAGCAGACTGGCTGGTCATGTCAAGCTGCCCCCTGGGTGAGGATGAGACGTGTGGCCTTCACATGTCCCTTTCCTGACTCACAAATGTTCCTATCCCCCAGGGCAGCAACACATGACCCCTTGGGGCCTGGGCTGGGACCATGGCTTCCTCTTCCTCCTCTTCCCTAGAATGCAACACAACTGACCTCCTGGGAGAGAAGCCTCAAGTCGTGGTGAGGTAGAAGCACAGGTACATCCTGGAGGCCACCAGCATGACCCTGGACATGACCCTGGACAGGAATCTGCCAGGCCTCAGCATCCTCCCATAGCTGTGAGAGATGCAGGTGGGGGTCAGGAAGCATATGACGTACCTAAGGCTGGCCCTTCCCAGCAGGCCTGTGAACGTCAAGGCCCCTGGGCGGAACGCTGTTGTGGAAAAACCCAACACCACATGGCAGGCACAGGAGCTATCAGCTCCTGTTTGGTTTGTACAAAGCCACTGAGACGCAAACTTCTGATGATCAGTCCATCTGCAGAGATTATGTTTTCCTCGAAAGGACCCAGGGTCCCCTCTGTGCATTGGGGAACTTAAAGGTCAAAAATAAGATCCAAGCTGGACATGGTGGTCCCTACCTACAATTTCAGGGGCTTGGGAGGCTGAGGTAGGAGGATGGGAAGTTCAAAGCCAGTCTCAGGAACTTAGCAAGGCCCTTAGCAACTTAGTGAGACTCTGTCTCAAAATAAAAATAAAAAGGGCTGGAGATGTGGCTCAGCAGTTAAGTATCCCTGGGTTCAATTCCTGGTCCCTGCCCACTCCCACCCTCGAAAAAAAGGGTTCAACTAACTAACTAAACTAACTCAAAACAGAAGAGAACAAACAGAAATTCTTAACAGTCTGATGAATTGGAGAAAAAAATGATGATTCCTATGAAATCTATACACATCCAAAGCAAAGTACTGGAGGGCCACCAGACACCAGGGCACATGTGTGACCAGGCTGCCCACATCTGACATGACAGTGTCTTCAGGCCCAGCGATGAAGGTATAAAAGCTTCCCTCCTGTCTCTGGTACTCCTTGCCCCTCTTGGGGTGTGATGACCAGCCCAACCAAAGAGTGTGGCTAGGTGCTAAGCTGGGCTGGCTGGGAAAAGGGGTTTGGTTTGTACAAAGCCACCATGTCCAGGATGAGACCAAACTCCTCAACCTGTCCTCATTAGCACCTAGTACTTGCCCCATCTTACTGCCCACAGAGATGCAGCACGTGGATGGACGAGCCTGGCAAGCAGGGCAGAAATGGTAACAGGTGGTCAGAAGGCTCTGCAGCCTGCCTCCACCTCGGGCAGGGAGGCACAGTGTCACTGAACCCTAGTCTGTAGTCTGTGGCAGGAGCTGGGAGAGCCAGGGGCTGCACTGCTGGCCATGGCCTGGAGCAAACCTCCTCCTCTGCACCTGGGCAATGTGGGTATCCTGCTCTCAGAAAGGCCGAGGGCTGAAGAAGCTAGAGACACTGAGTGCCCCGTGGACTCCGAGGTCATAAACATGTTAACTATTTCTATAAACTAAATTGACTTTCCGTGATGCCTAGAGACGGCAGAATCCCGTGGAGGCAACACGAGGAGGGATGGGAATCTGGACAGGAGAGGCAGGGATGGCTAATGCCATACTCCCTGCTGCCACATATAATGATACCACCATGCCCTGGCGCTAGGGGTTACAGTGAGGCTCCTCGTCAGGCATGTTGCTAAGGGGATGGGGGGTGGACAGCGAGTATCGGCTGAGAAGTGAGGTCCTGCAGGGGACGGTGTTTGTAACAGGCATCTGCCACCCAGAATCTTCCATACTGTCTGCAGAACACTATGTCCTGAAATGTCCTGGCTAGACAGGGGCTTCCCAACAGGAACCATGAGGTGTGTGAGGTGATTGGTACAGGATGTGAGGAAGGAGCAGGTGAACACAGCTAATGCACCCACTTTCTGGGTGCCCAATAGGAAACCCTGGGGTGTCTTAAGGACCATGTGACCCCCATTTCCCCCTACACGTGGCCTAGTTGGCACAGTATGACCGGCCAGGGTACAACCTGGGTAGTGAGGGTGGGGCTCAGGGTCTGGGTCTATGCTCCTCTGCAGCCTCCTTCCTAAGCCATCGCCCTCCCCAGAAGGGGAGGCCCTATTTCTCCCTGGGAGAAGAAGGAGACAGTCAGCCACCTGAGACCCTCCTACTGAAGGGAGCTGCCAG